CCCCGGGAGCGGCACCCCGAGCCCCGCGGTGCGGCCCCGCAGCGGGCAGCTCACTGCCACCCCGAGCCTGCCTGTGCCCCCGCCCTGGGCAGCGCAGGGTGCGGCACCCCCGGGTGCTGCCCCGTGCCTCAGTTTCCCCGTTTGCCCCCCGAGAGCCGTGGGGAGGGCACGGGGCCGCCGCTGGGGGAGAGAAGCCCCTCGGGGAAGGGAAGGGGGCAGCTCGGGGGGTGTAGCGCCGAGGTGATCTGGGGGGCAGCGGTGGGAAGGGGGGATGGGGTGCAGAATCGCAGTGGGGTGCGGAGGGTGCCGGGGGCCCGTTCAGAGGGGCCGCAGAGTCCCCCCAGCTCTGCCTACCCCCACCCCAGCGCCCCTTCCCTCGCTCCCAGTTCAGCAATGGAGCAAACGGGATGGGCTCAGTGTCCATCCCCGCCAGCCATGCCCCGTGCCTCAGTTTCCCCAGGCCATTCCCTTCCAGAAGGGATGCCCATCTTTTCCAATCCTACTCGGGCTGAGAACTTTCCCCCTGCAGTGCCCTGGCCCCCATCCCACGGGTGCCCGGGTGGGATGCGTGGCCAGCAGATCCCATTCCCGGATGGGGGGTGACAAGTGATCCGTGGGTGACGTGTGTCCCCGCGCCTCACGTGGCCATTGCCAGGCTACGGGCTCCCAAAAATAAATCCACCCAAACCAGATTAGAAACGCCCGACCTCGGACGAACCAGCCCCGGCATTCCGGGGCCCGCGGGCGGCTCCCGGGGGACGCGGGGCACCGGGAACAGGATTCCCGGTGAGCGGATCCACGGGGCTCCGTCCTGCCCGGGCTCCGGAACCTGTGGCAGAAGTAGAGCACAGAGGGAGTGAGTCCTGCTCCACAGAGTGGGGGGACACATGGAGCCCCCCCTTTTCCTGGGAACCCCTGTGGGCACCCTCCGCTTGTGTGGAACACCTTAGGACACCCTGTCATGGCAGACACCCCGCTCTGGTACCCCTGGTATCCCTGACACTACTGGCAGCCCACACCCCAGTTCCCAGTTACCCCACTGTCCCAGCCCCTGGCATCCCAGTACCATTATTATGGCACCCCAGCACCCCGGTCCCCAAGCACCCCCCTATCCCAGCACCTTGGGACCTCAGCACCCCAACATTCTGGCATCCCAGTACTCAATACCTTGGCACCCCAGTACCAGCACATGGCACCCCAGCCCCTCAGAACCTCAGCACCCCGGCATCCCAGTCCCCACACCACATCCCCTGGTACCCCAGGATCCCAGTGCCCCAGCACCCCAGCAGCCAAACATCCCAGTGTCCCTGAGCAGTGGAACCCCAGTACTTCAGTGTGCTGGCACCCCACTATCTCAGCATCCTGGCAGCCCACACCCCAGTTCCCAGGCACCCCACTATCCCAGCCCCCGGCATCCCAGTACCATTATTTTGGCACCCCAGCACCCCTCAAGCATCCCCCTACCCAGCACCTCGGGCTCCCAGCACCTCAGCATCCCTTCATCCCAGTGCCAATACCTTGGCACCCCCGTACCCAATACCTTGGCACCCCCGTACCCGGTGTCCTGGCACCCCCGTACCCGGTGTCCTGGCGCTCCAGGATATCAGCACCGTGGCACCCTAAGACTGCTGATACCCCAGTCCTGCTACCCCAGCACCCCATTATCCCAGGACCCTGGCACCCCAGCAATCCAACACTCCAGTGTCCCAGGCCAGTGGTACCTCAGTGTCCTGGCACCCCAGAACCACAGTAGTCTGGTCCCCCAAGCACCTCAACATTCTGGCACCCCAGCACCCCAACACTCCAGGCTACCCACTCCCCAGCAGCCCTGCACCCCAGCCCCTGGCACCCCAGGGCCCAAACACCCTGGGGTACTCATCCCCCAGCACCCCAATAGCTCAGCAGCCAAATCCCCCAGTACCTTGGCACCCCAGCACCCAACGTCGTGGAACCCCAGCACCAAGACACCCCAGCACCCCAACACCCCGGGGTACCGGTGTCCCGGTGCCCACCCCTGGCACCCCGGTACCCCCGTCCTGTCCCCTCTGCAGAGCCCCTGCCAGACATGCAGGCAAGCATGTTCACACCTGTGTGTGTGTGTGTCTGTGTGTGTTTGTTTGTGTGTGTGTATGTGTGTGTCTGTGTGTGCGTGTGTGTGTGTGTGTGTGTGTCTGTGTGTGTGTGTGTGTGTGTCTGTGTGTGTGTGTCTGTGTGTGTCTGTGTGTGTCTGTGTGTCTGTGTGTGTGTGTGTGTGTGTGTGTGTATCTGTGTGTGTGTGTGTCTGTGTGTGTGTGTCTGTGTGTGTCTGTGTGTGTCTGTGTGTCTGTGTGTGTGTGTGTGTGTGTCTGTGTGTATCTGTGTGTGTGTGTGTCTGTGTGTGTGTGTGTGTCTGTGTGTATCTGTGTGTGTGTGTGTCTGTGTGTGTGTGTCTGTGTGTGTCTGTGTGTGTCTGTGTGTCTGTGTGTGTGTGTCTGTGTGTGTGTGTGTGTCTGTGTGTATCTGTGTGTGTGTGTGTCTGTGTGTGTGTGTCTGTGTGTGTCTGTGTGTGTCTGTGTGTCTGTGTGTGTGTGTCTGTGTGTGTCTGTGTGTGTCTGTGTGTCTGTGTGTGTCTGTGTGTGTGTGTGTGTGTGTGTGTGTGTGTGTCTGTGTGTGTCTGTGTGTGTGTGTGTGTCTGTGTGTGTCTGTGTGTGTGTCTGTGTGTGTGTGTGTGTCTGTGTGTCTGTGTGTGTGTCTGTGTGTGTCTGTGTGTGTGTCTGTGTGTCTGTGTGTGTCTGTGTGTGTGTGTATCTGCGTGTGTGTGTGTCTGTCTGTGTATCTGTGTGTGTGTGTCTGTGTGTCTGTCTGTGCATCCGTGTGTGTCTGTGCTGACACACGTGTGCTCCCATGACGTACTGCATGCACCCAGGACCCCTCCTGCTGTCCCCTGGGTCACCCAGGGCGCCCCAAGGACACCCACGGTGTGGGGGTGTGGGTGGGGCCGCCGGCGGGAGGGGTGTGGGCAGTGGGCTCGGCAGGGATTAACTCTTGGATTAAAACTGGCAAAATAAGGACGCCCCAAGGACAAAATTCCCTGTCTGATTAAGGGGGATCCAGCTGAGGGGGGAGGTTAGGGTGAAGGGAACAGGGCGAGGGGCACCCTGAGGACATCCTGTTCTGTGTTCCAGGGGTTCCTTTTAATCCCTGCCCCCCTTCGCAGTAAAAAGCTGCATCATCCCAGCATGGTTTGTTCCAGCTCTTTTCTCTCTAATTTTGGACCCAAAATCCGGCACGAATGTTTGGATCTAAAAATACTACCGGGAAGCAGAGCCACTGGTGGGGGGGTGCGGGGCTCCCTGCTGCGGGGCTGTGACAGCCGGGAGTGACCCGGGAGTCCCCATGTCCTGGGGCTGTGGGGTGGGGTCAGGACCTCGGGGGCATGGGGACTATGGGGCCGTGGGATGGGGCTGGGAGTGCAGGGGGGGCTGGGGACGGAGATGGGGATAGGACAGGGATGGGGATGGGGTTAGGGATGGAATAGAGGTGATGGAGGTGAGGACAGGGTGAGAATGAGGATGGGGACAGGCATGAGGATGACAACCATGATGGAATTGGATTGGACTGGATGAAATGGAAATGGGGATGAGAACAGGAATGGAATGGGATGGGATGGGGACAGAGGACAGGGATGAGAATGAGGATGGGGAGAGGATGGGAATGGGAGATGGGGATGAAGATGAGGACAGGGATGGAAGAAGGATGATGGGGATAGAGGACAGAGATGGAAATGAGGATGGGGATGGGGAGAGATAAGTGTGAGGATGGAGATGAGGGATAGGGATGGGAATGGGATTGGGATGATGGAGAAGAGGACAGCGATAGGGATGAGGACAGGGATACGGGATAGGGATGGGAATAAAAAGGGGCGTGAGGATGGGGTGGGGAAGAATCTGGGGAGGGAGAGTGGGATGAGGATAAAGATGGGATGGGGATAGGAACGGAGACGGGGAGGGAGATGGAGAGGGGAGTGGGGAGTGGGGACAGGCTGGGACAGGGATGAGGAGGGGGTCAGACATAGGGCTGGGGCTGGGGAGGGAACTGAGCACTGAGGGGCCAGGGCTGGGGCGGGAGAAGGGGCCGGGTGGGACATGGACCGGACCGGGGCTGGGGTGGGACACGGGACTGGGGCTGGTATCGGACATAGGGCCGGGCCTGGGGTGGAGGATTGGCCTGGGGCTGGGGTTGGACACGGGGCTGGACCGGTGTCGGATACGGGACCGGGGCTGGTGTCGGACATGGGCCGGGCTGTGCCAGTGTTGGACATGAGCCGGGCCGGTGCTGGACATGGACACGGACACAGACCAGGTCGGTGTCGGACACAAACCGGGCCAGTGCCATGCACACACTGGGCCGGTGCCACACACGGGCCGGTGCCATACACACACACCGGGCCGGTGCCATACACACACCGGTGCCATACACAGATCGGGCCGGTGCCATACACACACCGGTGCCACACACACACCGGGCCGGTGCCATACACACACCGGTGCCATACACACACCGGTGCCATACACGGACCGGGCCGGTGCCATACACACACACCGGGCCGGTGCCATACACACACCGGTGCCATACACACACACCGGTGCCATACACACACACCGGTGCCATACACACACCGGTGCCATACACACACCGGTGCCATACACACACACCGGGCCGGTGCCATACACACACCGGTGCCATACACACACACACCGGTGCCATACACACACCGGGCCGGTGCCATACACACACCGGTGCCATACACACACACACCGGGCCGGTACCATACACAGACCGGGCCGGTGCCATACACACACCGGTGCCATACACACACCGGTGCCATACACACACACCGGGCCGGCGCCGGGCGGGTTAAGCCGCGCGCTGCCGCCATTGGCGGAGCCCGAGCGGCCGCAGCCAATGGGGACGCGCCGTGCGGCCCGGGGCGGATCGGGGCGGCTCGGCCGCGTTCGGGCCGGGTCGGAACCGCTCGGCAGAGCTCGGGCCGGGTCGGAACCGCTCGGCAGAGCTCGGGCCGGGCTCGGCTCTGTCCGGCTGAGCTCGGCAAGGATCGGGAAGGTTCGGCAGAGCTCGGAACGGGCTCGGCTCTGCTCGGCTGAGCTCGGGAGGTTCGGCCCGGCCCGGTTCGGCCTGGCTTGGTTCGGCGCGGCCCGCTCGGCTTCCTTCGGCCTCGCTCGGCTCAGCTCGATCTGTTCGGCTTCTCTCGGCTCGGTTCGGCTCCGTTGGACTCTCTTCGGTTCGGTTCGTCTGGGCCCGGCCCTGCCCGGTCGCCGCCGCACCGGGCCCGGTAACGCTCCGACCGCATCCCCGGTGCGGGCCCGAGCCCGGCCCCGGTAACGCCCCGGGAGGAGGGGGGAGGGAGGGAGCGAGCATCCTCCGCCGCTCGGTCCGCAGCACGGCCGGGACCGGGGGCAGCCCCGGGGGACCGTGACAGTGGGGACATGTCGTGACAGTGGAGACATGTCGTGACAGTGGAGACAGAGCCACCCCGCACCGTGACCCAGGGACACCCTGGACACCAGGACCGAACCCCCAGCCGTGACACAGGGAGCACCGGGGCACAAAGCCACTCCATGTCGTGACACCGGGGCACCAGAGCCGCCCCGGCAGTGACACTGGGTGCACGCCAGGGCTCTTGATGACAGCGCGGTGACACCGAGCACCCCGCACCGTGGCACAGGTGAGCAGGCAGATCGGCAGGTGCTGTGACACCATGGGACCCTGTGCCTGGCACCTGCCGTGACACTGGGTGACCAAACCACCCTGTGCCGTGACTCCTGGGCGGGCCTTGAGCCTGCACTGTGCTGTGACACTGGCGGACCAAAGCCAGCCTGGACTGTGACAAGTGATCAACCAGCCTGGCGCCTGCCGCCGGGTGACCAAAGCCACCTTGGACTGTGATGCCAAGTGACCAAGCCTCTGCACCATGACAGCTGGTGAACCCTCAGCGTGGCGCTTGCTGTGACACCGTGTGCTGTGACACTGGGTGACCAAGCCACTCCACATTGCGGCACCATGTGACTGAAGCCTCCCCGCACTCTCCACGCTGCACTGTCCCGTCATGCCGCCATCCTGTCACCCCTGCGTGGCCATGCGTGCCCCCGTGGCGCCGCTGTCCCTGCTGCTGGCGCTGTCCCTGCTGTCCCCGTGGGGGTGCGCGGGCGGGAGCTGCCCCCCGCGCTGCGTCTGCGCCTCCAACCTGCTGAGCTGCTCGCAGGCCAACATGAGCGTGGTGCCGGCGCCGCTGCCGCGCTTCACCGCCGTGCTGGACTTGAGCCACAACAACGTGACGCGGCTGCGGGCGGACTGGGCGCCGGCGCGGCTGCCGCACCTGCACGCGCTGCTGCTGAGCCACAACGGGCTGGCCTTCGTGTCCACCGAGGCCTTCGCCCACGTGCCGCGCCTGCGCCACCTCGACCTGTCCTCCAACCGCCTGCGCACGCTGGACGAGAACCTGTTCAGCGACCTGGGCGAGCTGGAGGTGCTGCTGCTGTACAACAACGAGATCGCCACGGTGGATCGCACGGCCTTCGAGAACCTGGGCCGGCTGCGCAAGCTCTACCTGGGGCAGAACCGCATCGCCCGCTTCCCGCTGGAGCTGCTGCGGGAGGGCACCCGGCTGCCGCAGCTGGCGCTGCTGGACCTGTCGGCCAACCGGCTGCGGGCCGTGCCCGCGGGCGAGCTGCAGGCGCTGCCCGCCTGGCTGCGCGACCGCCTCTACCTGCACAACAACCCCCTGGCCTGCGACTGCCTGCTCTTCCAGCTGCTGGACCGCGGCCGCCGCCGCCACCTCAGCGCCGTGGAGGATTTCCAGGATGAGCTGCGCTGCTTCCAGCCCGGAGGGACCGCTTTCGTCAAGATCCTGGAGCTGGCGGGCAAGCCGCCGCTCAACTGCAGCAGGGCGCGGGAGGCCGTGCTGGAGGCGCACCTCGGGGACAGCGTGACGCTGGGCTGCGACAGCCGGTGGCAGGGCGTGCGCGGCCGGCACTGGGTGACACCGGGCGGGGAGCGGGTGCTGGGGGAAGGGGGCAATGGCAGCGTGGTGCTGCTGGCCAACGGCAGCCTTCAGCTGCGGGCGCTGCGCCCTGAGGACGCCGGCACGTACTCCTGCTGGGTGGCCGGACCCCTCCTCAATGAGACCCTCTACGTGGAGCTGCTGGTGCACAACTTCACCCTGCACGGCCCCCACGACACGCTGAACACAGCCTACACCACTCTGGTGGGCTGCATCCTGAGCGTGGTGCTGGTGCTCATCTACCTGTACCTCACCCCGTGCCGCTGCTGCTGCTGCCGTGGCACCGAGAAGCCGCCGGCGCCGCGCGACGACAGCATCAACTCCTCGGTGCTGAGCACCACCCCGAACCACGCCGGGGGCACCGGGGAGCCCTGCCCTTCCCACGCCGCCCCCGGGGCTGGCACAGGGCAGAACGGCAGGTTCAAGGGTGGGGGGACGCCCCCGCTGCCTGCCCGGCAGGGCCCCAAGGCGCAGAGGAAGGTGTCGGATCCAGACTCGGTGAGTTCCGTCTTCTCCGACACGCCCATCGTGGTGTGAGGGGACGCTGTGGGGACAGTCCCCAGGGACACCCCGTGTCAGCCACTGCAAGCTGTCCCTGGGCAGGAGGGATGGCCAGACCCCTACTGCCGTGTCCCCAGCTCGGGGGGTCACACCATCACACCTGAGCATCGCTGCTGGCTCCCGCCGAGGTCACTGACACCATGGACAGTGAGGGACAAAGATGTGACACGCTTTGGGGACAGTCTCCCACCGTGACCTGTCCCACCACCATGGTCCCAGCTTTTGGGGGTCCCACGATCAACCCCCAGGACTGAGCATCATCCCACACCTCCATTGAGGTCACAAAGGGACCGTGAGGGACGCACGGGTGTGAGGAGACACACCACGGGACAGTCCACTGGGACACCCTGTGTTCCTACAGCTGCTGTGACCTGTTCCCCGTGGACACGCCACGGGCAGAAGGGGTGGCTGGACCCCATCTGCCACGTCCCCAACTTGGGGGGCATTGCCCCCAGGACGGAGCATCGCTGCTGGGCCCCACCGAGGTCACTGCGCAACCGCAAGGGACAAGGATGTGACACCATGGGGCAGTCCCCCACTGTCACCTGTCACCAGGCAGGAAGGGTGGCCAGACCCCCACCATCATGTCCCAGCTTTTGGGGGTCCCATCATCACCCCCCAGGACTGAGCATCATCCCCGGCCCCTGCCGAGATCACTGAGGGACCGCGAGGGACACAAGGGTGAGAGGGGACACACCATGGGGAGTCCTCAGGGACACCCCGTGTCCCCACTGCCACTGCAAGCTGTCCCCAGGCTGCAGGGGTGGCTGGACCCCCATCAGCGTGTCCCCAGCTTTTGGGGATCCCACATCACCCCTCGGGACTGAGCATCATCCCTGGCCCTGCCACGGCCACCGGGGGACTGCAGTGACCCAAGGGTGTGAGGGGACACACCAAGGGGACAATCTCCTGCTGTGACCTGTCCCTGGGCAGGAGGGATGACCAGACTCCCACCACCGTGTCCCTCGTTTTTGGGGGTCCCACCATTGCCCTCAGGAGTGAGCATCGCTGCTGGCCCCTGCCAAGCTCCCTGCAGGACCACAGGACAAGTCTCGGTGAGGACAGCGTGGCCACCAACTGCAGGGCACCAGCCCCACCAGGCACTGGAGGACTGAGGGACAGTGACAGTGGCAGCTGTGAGCCCCCAGGAGCGGCAGCACCGGGCAGAACCCCTCCCTGCAGCCCTGGCCCCCCATTCCCCCTGCCCCCCTTGGCATGTGCATGGCCAAGCATGAGTCCCCCGGGGAGCATGTGCCACCCCCGTGGGGACACCGGGGGTGTGTCAGACCCCTGGGGAACCCCCAACACCTCCTGACCCCCCCTGCAACCCGCAGCTGCAAACAGAGCCCCCTCCCCCGCAGGGGGTGGGACCGGGGGGCTCCTGCACCCCAAAAAGGGGGTGCCCCCCTGCCATGGGTGTCCCCATGCCAGCCCAGCCTGTGACTCCCGTGCCCCACCCCGGACGTTCCCCCGCACCGGGCAATGCCCACCGATGTCTTGGCCAAAATAAATGTGTTTCCCTCGCGCCTGTGCAACCTTCACCCGCCTCTGGGGGACCCCCGGGGTCAGGCTGGGTGGGGGGCCCTGCTGCCCTGCCTGCCCCCATCTGGGGTGCAGGGGGGTGAGCTGGGGGGCACCCCGGTGTGCCCACCCTCTATGGCCAGCCCCGTGCTCACCCCAGCACCCCAATGACACAAATGACACCCCTGGTACCTCAGTGACCCTTGTGGTCCCCTGCCTGTCCCCCCAGCACCCCAAAGATCCCCTATGGTCCCCAGTACCTGCCCTTTAACCCCCCCAGCACCCTAATAACCCTCAATGGTCCCCAGGTCCTCCCCGCTGTACTGAGGCCACCCCCAAGCAATTCACTGATCTCCCCAGCCCCCTAATGACCCCACTGCCCCCCACCAAGTCCCCAGAGACCCTCTATGGTCCCCTGTACCCTCCTAGCACCCCAATGAACCCCACCTGTCCCCCGAGCACCCCAAAAACCTCATGTGGCTCCCAGTTTGCCCACATCCAGTGACTTCACTGAGCCTCCAGCACCCCAGTGACCCCATTTACCACCCCCCAGCACCCCAGTGACCCCCATTTACCACCCCCCAGCACCCCAGCCAACTCCCAGAATCTCACTGACCCCACTGACCATCTCCCGGCCCTCCAAAGACCCTTATGGGGCCTTGCCCACCCTGAAGATCCCCTCTAGTCCCCAGTAAGCCCCCCAGCACCCCAGTGGTGCCCTCAGCCTCCCAGAGACCCTTATAAACCCCTGCCCAGCTCCACAGCCCCCCCAGCACCCCAAAGACCCCCTTTGCTCCTCAGTAACCCTCCACAGCCCCCCCAGTGAGCCCCCCCAGTACCCTGCTGGCCCCTCAACACTCTTAACAACCCCAGTATCCCGCTGGCCCCAGTGACACTCCCCCAGTCCCCCAATAATTTTCCAGTATCCCCCTGCCCCACTGAGCCCCCCACCCCCAAACCCACAGACCCCCAGCACCTCCTTTCCCCCATCCACCACTACACAACTCTTTTTTTTTTCTTTTTTTTTCTTTTTTTACAAAAAGAACAAAAACAGCAACAACCGTTTCTTATAAATATCCGCGGCCGACGGGGCCCCGGGAGGTTCGGGGGGTCCCCAGTGCCGCCCCCCCCTCCCGGGGCTGGTTTAGCAGCAAGAGAACAGAACTGAGAGTTTTGAGGTATTTTCTGGAAGTTTGGGATTTTTTCCTTCGTGTTTCCTTGGGATGTTTTTTCCCCCCTTCATCGGTTTTCTGGCGTTTCCAGGTGGGTGAGGAGGACACAGGGGGGGCCCCCGGTGACCCCTCTGTTAATGGGCTTTGGACTGCGGGGGGGAGAGGGGACGGTCAGTCCTGGGGGGCAACGCTGGGGACAGGGGACCCGCGGGGGCTCTCCACAGGCTTAGGGGATCCCCACGGTGGGTGCACACCCCCTCAGGGTGTCCCCCCACAGGACAGGGTGTCCCCACCAGACCAGGGTGTCCCCCCAGCATGGGGCATCTCTCAGGGCACAGTGACCCCAATCCCAGCTGGTCCCACTGACCCTCATGGATGGGGGGGGGGGGTCCCCCTATTTCACCACCCACCCCCCAGCCCTACCTTCAGGGCGCTCCTCTTCTCCTCGAAGCCCAGGGGCGTCCCCGGCTTCTTCCTGCGGATGGAGCCCCCCGAGCCGGAGCTGCCGGGGCCGGGGGGTGCCGGGGGGGGCCCGGGCAGGGCGGGGGCGGCTTTGGCCTTCAGGGCTCGGCAATAGGTGGCCGCGTTCTTGCGCTTCTTCACCTCATCCTCGGAGAGCCCCCGGGGGTCGCCCCCCAGCCCGGGCAGCGGCGGCGTTGGGGGGTCCGGGGCGGCGGGGGGGGCTCGGCAGGGCGGGCCGGGGGGCAGCCGGCGCATCCTCGGGGTCCCGTTGAGGATGGCCACGGAGGGCGAAGCCGGGGCCGGGAGTTTCGTCTTGCCGGGGGGAGCCAAGCCCAGATTTTTGCCGCTGTCCCCCAAACAGGTCCGTTTGTAGGGGGGGCTGCCGGCCCTGGGGGGCTGCCAGGGCCGGGGCTCCGCGTCCATCCCCGGCGCCTCCCGTGCCCGCGGGGATCTGCTGGCCTTGCCGGGGGGCAGTTTGCTGAAGGAGGGCGAGGGGGTGTTGGCGGGGAGGGGAGAGGTGATGGACTGCGTGCCCCCTCCCCCGCACTCGGGCTGGCTGCAGGCGGCCGCCGCCGGGGGGGACCCCACGGTGTAGGTGAGGCTGGTGGGGACCCGGCACCCCCCGGCCGCCGAGGGGCTCCGCAGGGGCGGGGAAGGGGTGGCAGGGCCGAAAAGGGGGGCAGCGGGGCTGGGAGGGGCTGCGGGGAGGTGAAGAGGGGGCACGACGGCTGGAGGGATCTTCCTGTGGGAAGGGAGGGGTGGGTGAGATGGGGAATACTCAAAACTCCTGCTCCCAACCGCATCCCTCCAGTGCATTCTCTCCAAATCCCCATTCCCATCCCTCCAGCCCCACCTTATCTTCCCCCAATTCAGGTGTCGAAAGGTGAGATGGGACCTCTCCAAATCCCCATTCCCATCCCTCCAGCCCCACCCTGTCCTCCCCAATTCAGGCGTGGAAAGGTGAGATGGGACCTCTCCAAATCCCCATTCCCATCCCTCCAGCCCCACCTTGTCCTCCCCAATTCAGGCGTGGAAAGGTGAGATGGGAGCCCCCACAAATCCTCACTCCCACCCCTGCATCCCCCACCTTGTCCCCCCGAGTTTGGATGGGAAGGGGTGAAACAGGACATCCCCTCAAATCCCCATTACACCCCAATTCAGGTGAGAAGGGGGTGAACAGAACCCCCCCTCCAATCTCTGCTCTCAGTCCTGCATCCCCATCTGATCTTTCCCAATTTGGGTGAGAAGTTGATGAAATGGGATCCCTCAAATCCCCACTCCCATCTTTGTCCCCCCAATCCTTCCTGATTCAGGTAGGGAGGGGATCCCAAATCCCCGCTCCCATCCCTCCATCCCCACCTTATCCTCACCAGTTTGGATCAGAATGAGGTGAAATGAGACCCACTCCGGTTTCCCACTCACATCCCTCACTTTGAATGGGGGGCAGGTGCAACAAGACCCCCCCCAAATCCCCAATCCCGTCCTCCCCCGCAATCCCAACACCACGCTGGGACCCCAAACCCCAGGCTTTGTCCCTGGGCCCCCCTCACCTCCACCTGTGCGCGCTGAGGTGCTGCTCCAGCATGGAGCCCAGCGCGGCGCAGAACCGGTCCAGCCGCCGGTCGAACACGTAACAGCCCGGGGTCACCAGGCGGCTCCCGAAGGTGCAGAACTGGGGGGCACCGTGCCAGGGTCACTGCAGCCCCCCCACGCCCCCGCCTCAACCACCCACCGGCACGGGGCCGGGGAAAGGACACGTGGGTAGGTCACTGGTGGAGCTGGAGGTCCCTGCCCCAGTTTGGGGGACCCCCGGACATGGATGGGGTCCTGGTGGAGCTGGGGGTCCCTGCCCCACTTTGGGGTCTGACATGGGTGGGGTGCTGGAGCTGGGGGTCCCTGCCCCACTCTGGGGTCTGACATGGATGGGTCACTGGTGGAGCTGGGGGTCCCTGCACTCTCTGGGGTCTGACATGGGTGGGGTCCTGGTGGAACTGGGGGTCCCTGCCCCGCTCTGGGGTCTGACATGGGTGGGTCACTGCTGGAGCTGGGAGTCCCTGCCCCACTCTGGGTCACTGGTGGAGCTGGGGGTCCCTGCACTCTCTGGGGTCTGACATGGGTGGGTCACTGGTGGAACTGGGGGTCCCTGCACTCTCTGGGGTCCCCTCACTCACCGCCTGAGGCCGTGGTGGGCGCGCCGGGGTCCGGGGGGGCTCCTCGCCCACCTCCTCCTCGCTCTCCTCGCTGGACACGCGGCTGTCCCCCTTGGGCAGGGGGAGGGGGAAGCTTCCCATGCTCCCCTCCCCAGAGGTGGCCGGGGCATCCTCAGGGTCACTGGCAGAGGAAAGTCGGGCCCTGCATAGGAGAGGAAGTTTTGGGGTGCTCAGTACTTTGGGGGTCACTGTGAGACAATAAACCCCCCCCCAAATCCCCATTTCTAATCCCTACAATGTGCTCCCCAATCCAGGTGAGGAGAGCTCAGACCCACCCACCCCCCCCAAATCCCTGCTTCCATCCACTTCCCCTCCCAATTCAGGTGCAGAGGGGCTGAGACAGGACCCCACAATTCTGCAGCCACATCCCTGCTGCCCTGCCACACCCCCAGTGCAGGTGGGGAAAGGTGAGATGGGACCCCCAAAACCCAGCTCCCAGCCACATCCTCCCTTGATTCAGGTGGGGAGGGGGTGACACAGGACTCCCCAAATTCATTTGGGTGACATGGGACTCTACAAATCCCTGCTCCCATCCACATCCCCCAAACTCAGCTGGGTGACATGGGACCCCACAAATCTCTGCTCCCATCCACATCCCCCAAATTCAGCTGGTGACATGGGACCCCACAAATCTCTGCTCCCATCCACATCCCCCCAAACTCAGCTGGTGACACGGGACCCCACAAATCACGGCTCCAAACCACATTCCCCCATTTCAGGTGGGGAGGGGGTGAGATGGACCCCCCCAAATCCCCACTCCCATTCCTGCCCTTTCAGTGCATCCCCCCCAGTTCGGGTGGGGAAAGGTGAGAGGAGACCCCCCCCAAATCCATGGGGTACTCACCTGGGGGGGTGCAAGCAGTGGGACAGCCTGGCTCGGCAGGGAGGGGTACTGGGGGGCTGCAGCAGTGGGGGGGTGTCCTGCAGGGCAGGGTGCAGTGGGTCCTTCTCAGGGGGGCTCCTGTCTTTCGGGGGGTCCCCTCGGCGGGTGCTGGCCTTGAGCTCGGCCACCAGCACATCGAAATCCTTGGCCCGACCCTGCACCTCCCGGCGCTGGTGAACCGAGTGGATCTGGGTGGCAGCAGGGAGGGGCTCAGGACCCCCCAAAACCCCCAGGCTGGGATATTGGGGTGCCCCCTCCCCATTCCCCACTACCTTGCAGGTCAGCAGGCGGGTGCAGAGCTTGTTGGTGTCGGGGTTCCGCACCCCACACTGCCGGTTCAGGTCACACTCCTTCCCTGGGGGGACATGGAGGCAGAGGGTGCTGGGGAGTGCTGGGGGGGCACCCCAACACCCCCCACCAGGGCTGGGCATGGAGCACCCACTCCTCGGAGCAGTTCTGAGTGGGGGACACAGCCCTGAGAAGTCTTGAGGGGGTGGGGGGTCACCATGTGCTGCTCCCTCCCCTTCTTGCTCCTCTGCAGGGTGAGCCCCCCCTTTTCTGCCCCTTCCCTGTAGTGACCCCCCAAATTTCACCTGAGTCCTGCTAATGGCCTTGCTGTCACCTAGGAGTGTCTGTGGGCACAGCAGCAATTGGCTCTGGTATTTTGGGGGCAGGGGGGCACGTGTTTGACTCCCATATTTTGGGGACTGTATGTTCAACACCCATCTTTTGGGGTGACATATGTCCAAATTCCATATTTTGCGGGGGGGGCACACATCCAAACTTCTTATTTTGGGGTGGCACACACACTTGACACACATATTTTGGGGTGATACATATTTGACCCCCATATTTGGGAGGGGCATGTGTTATACCCCAGTATTTTTGAGAAACAACACATTTGGCCCCCATATTTTGGGGGAGGGGGGTATGTGTTCAGCCTCCATATTTCGGGGTGACACATGTCCAACCCCTGTATTTTGGGGTGACACATGCCCAACCCCCATATTTTTTGAGGGGACACGTGTTTAACCCCACATTTTCAGAGGATACACATTTGACTCCCGTATTTTGTGGGACACACCCATGTATTTTGTTTCACCCACATATTTTGGGGGGAAGATGTGTTTAACCCCCATATCTTGGGGGACCATGCATTGAACACCCATATTTTGGGGTGACACATGTGACCCCCATATTTTGGAGGGATACACATCCAAACCCCTTATTTTTGGGGGGACACATATTCAACCTCTCTATTCTGGGGGACGTGTATCCACCCCCATGTTTTGGGAGGGAATGCACATTTGACCCCCATATTTTTGGGGGTCACATATCCAGTTCTCATGTTTTTTGTGGGGGACACAAGTTCAACCCCCATATTGGGGGGGGGGGGCACTTGTTCTACCTCCATATTTTCATGGGGGACAGCTGTTTGACCCCCCACTTTTGGAGGAGCACGTGCGGATTTGGGGGTCCACCCTCAGCTCCCGCTCTTGCTGTGGCCATTCCTCGGGAGCAGTCAAGTGGGGGCCCTAAACCTACAGGACGACCAGAACTGGGGGGAGGGCAGGGACCCCCCAACAACCCTCCAGAGGAGAGAGAGGAGCCACTCCCCCGGTACCTACCCCACTGCTAGACCTGGCCACCGGAATCCCGGCAGCAGGGAGTCCCGCTGGGATCATCCGCCCCCCCCCATGGCCGGCAAGGAAAGGGGGGACTCACGCGCCAGCTTCCTGTGGGACCTGGGGGGCGGTTTGGGGGCCCCCACATCCTTGTCCCCCGGAGCAGGGATGCTCTCCGGCATGGCCGAATCCCCCCCGACCCCGGCGGGCACCGGGGGCTCTTTGGGCACCGCGGCAGCCGCGGGTTTCCCCAGGGATTCCTTGGAGTTGGTGGGGACGGCTTTGGGGGGCACCTTGATCCCGTGCCCGTCCGGTTTGGGAATGCTGGGAATCTTCTCCAGGTTCACCACGGGCACAAACAAGCTGCGGAGAGAATTTTGGGGAGGAGGGGGTGGCATCAAAGCGACCCCACAAGAGCATCAGGGTGGCCCGTCCCAGCGCTCACCAGAGGTTGTTGTCCTTGTCCGTGTGCTCCGGGAGGGGCTGGGCTCTCCCACGGGCACCGGGGTGCTTCTCCTGCAGGGCTTTGGCCGCTCCGGGGGTCCTGCCGGGCACCGGCTGCCCGTTCACGGCGACGTGGCACGCGGCGGCGCGGGCGTAGAGCTTGCTGAGCGGGCCGTGCCGGCGTTCTGCCAGGAGGGATGGCACAGCATGGCATGGCATGGCACGGCATGGATAAAATGGGATAACCCCACTGTTAGCCCACAACGGAGCTCGCACCACTGCCAGCCCCCTCCCTGCCCGTAGGCTGTACCCCCACAAGCAGCCCTGGTGGCATTCCCAGTGCTGTCCCCAGCACCGTGGGGTGGAATTGCCATTCCCCAAATTCCTTGGCTCACCACAGTGCTTCTGGAAGGCCTGGGGTTTCACCACCTGGCTGCAGTGGTTGCAGACCACCAGGTAGAACTCGTCGTGCGCAGGGCAGTGCCCGAAGATGTCCATGTCTGTGGGGAGAGTTCAGTCAGCTGGCACAGAGCTGGTGCTGCTGGGAGCACTGCAGACAAGGATCCCAGCCCCAAAATGCTGGGTTTCACCCCAGAGAGGAGCTCACCTTCCTTAATCAGGGTCATGGTGTCCAGTTTCTTGCTGCCACTCTTCCCATTCTCCTCCAGCTCTGACCCTGATCCTGCCAGAGACAAAATCCTGTCAGTGGCTGGCACACGGACGGTCCCGGTGCTCCCACACAGGGGTGGTCCTGGCATTCCTGCTCCTGGAACAATTAAACCAGACAAAATTAGACCAGAGAGACAGATCATCCCGTGAGTGGCATCGCCCTGAGATGTGTCACCATCTCCAGGGTCCCCATCCTGGCAGCCCAGTGCCAGCAGGATGTTCCTGGGGACATCCCAGTATGGGATGTGACACTCCTGGGATGTGACACTCCTGGGATGTGATACCCCAGGGACGTATTTGCCCTGGGATAGAACATCCCTGAGGACACCCTGGGGCCGGGATGGGACACCTGTGGGGACAGCCCCATCCTGGACGGTGTGTAACACCCCTGAGGACACGCCGGTGTGGCACATGACGCCCATGGGAACATGCTGGTCCCAGAATGTGACACCCTGGGGTCACCCTGGCTCCCATACAGCCGTGGCTCCACTGGCTGTGCCTGGGCTCTGTTCTGGGGGCACTGGTGGCCACTGAGCCAGTGGCGATGGTGACGTGGCCAACTGTGCCAAACCGGGTGCCCAGTCCATCCCCAGTCCTACCAGGCCATGCCATACTGGGCACCCAGTTCCATCCGGCTGTGCCATACTGGGTAACCGGTCCTGCCTGCCTGGCCATGCCATACTGGGTGGCCAGTGCCACCTAGCTGTGCCATACTGGGCACCCAGACCCATCCAGATGCACCATCACTGGTGCCCAGTCTGGGGCAGCCAGTCCCAGTGCTGAGAGCCCACTGGGACACTCCCAAGCTCCCAGCAAGGAGCACCTGGCTCCCAGTATGCCCTGCCCAGTTCCCAGTGCAGGACATCCCAGTCCCCCACCGGGGCTCCCAGTACCTCCAGCCTGGTCTGGGGTAATGGTGGCAACTAATTCCCAGTGCAGGCTCTCCAGTTACTGCTCTGCTCCCAGCAGTGCCCACTGCAGCTGGGACATCTGGAATCCAGGATGGGGCACCCCATAACGGGCACCCCATAACGGGCACAGGGTTCCCGTGGGCAGACTGGGCTGCCTGGTGCTGGGTGCCCAGTTCCTACTGCAGAGATCCTGCTGCCCAGTGCCTGAATCCCAGTGCCCAGTGTGGCTGCCTAGTGCCCAGTTCCCAGTGCAAGCACAGGGTGCCCAGTTCCAGGTGCCCAGCTCCTGGTGCCCAGTGTCCACTGCAAGATTCCTGGTGTTTGGACAACTTTTGTAGGATGCCCCATTCCATTTCTCAGAGCTGGGTCTGCAGCACAGGGTGCCTGTTCCCAGTGCTGAGTGTCCAGTTCCTGGTACCAGGTGCCACGTCTGGCTGTGCAGTGCCAGGTCCCCACTCCTGACTCCTGCTGCCAGCTGCCCGGTGCTGGATGCCACATTCCAGAGCAGGAGGTGTCCATTCCCAGTTCCCAGTTCCCAGTTATGGGTGCCAGGTCTGAATGCCCACTGTAAGGTTCCCAGTGCCCAGTTCCTGGTGCCAGGTCCCCATTGCAGGATCTCCTATTGCCATTGTCTGGTGCCCAGTGCTGGGTGCCCCATTCCTGTTTCTGCACGTGCTGGTGCAGGATGCCACATCCTCAGTGCGTGGTCACCAGGGCTGGGTGCCCAGTTCCCAGAACAGGCTGTCAGGTCTGGATGCCCAGTTCTGAGTACCAGGATCCCAGTGCAGGGTGCCCATTCCCAGTACCAGGATCCCAGTGCAGGGTGCCCATTCCCAGTACCAGGATCCCAGTGCAGGGTGCCCATTCCCAGTACCAGGATCCCAGTGCAGGGTGCCCATTCCCAGTGTCTGATTCCCAGTGCAGGGTGCCCATTCCCAGTACCAGGATCCCAGTGCAGCGTGCCCATTCCCAGTACCAGGATCCCAGTGCAGGGTGCCCATTCCCAGTCTCTGATTCCCAGTGCAGGGTGCCCATTCCCAGTACCAGGATCCCAGTGCAGGGTGCCCATTCCCAGTGTCTGATTCCCAGTGCAGGGTGCCCATTCCCAGTGTCTGATTCCCAGTGCAGGGTGCCAGGTCTGGCTGCCCCGTTCCCAGTGCCAGGTGCTAGTACAGGATGCTTCATTCCAGGTGTCCAGCTCCCAGTGCCAGGGAACATCCTAGGACATGCCAGGACAACCTGCACCAGAAACTGGGCACTGGGAATCCTGCCCTGGGCATCCAGACGCGGCACCCCGTGCTGTGCGCCCAGCTGCCGGTACTGGATGCCAGGTCTCGATGCCCAGAACAGGGTTCCCAGTGCCCTGTTTCCCACTGTCCAGCGCAGGATGCCCCGTTCCCGGTGCCCCGTTCCCGGAGCAGAACGAGCCGCTCCTGCTGCTCTCGGTTCCCAGCGCACGGTGGAGGATGCTCCGTTCGCGGTTCCCGGTGCAGGATGCCCCGTTCCCAGCGCAGGATGCCCTGCTGCCGGTTCCCGGTGCCGGACTCCCCTCTCCCGGTGCCGCTGCCCGCCCGCCGCGCGGCGGCGCTCGGACCGGGGGTCGGCGGGCGCGGCCCCGGTCGCGAAGCCCCCCCCGCCGCCGCCGCCCTCACCGGTGTCGGCGGGCGGCCCGGCCCGCTCCAGCCAGGCGCTCCAGCTCTGCCCCGCGAACTCGTCCAGGCCGGGCACCGGCCGCCGCTCCGCCGCCATCGCCGCCGCCGCGGCACCGCCGCCCCCCCGCCCGCCCCCGCCGCGCATGCGCCGCGCGCCCCGCCCGCCCCGCGGCACCACGGGCACGGTAGTCCCGGGGCGACCCCCGCCCGCCGGCCCGCACCGCCCACCGAGCCCCGCCGAGCCGGGACACCCCATCCCTGCGCTGTCCCACACCGGGCTGGGGTCTCCCGTTACCGCCACACCGGCATGGGGGTGCCCGGTAGCGCTGTAACAGGTATGGGGCACTCGGTATCCCTGTACTCGGTTGGGCTTCCCTGTTGTCCCCATAGCGGACCCAGAGCTCCAGTTATTCCTATAAGGGGCTGGGGTCTGGTGTAGTTACTTCACACTGGGCTGTGAGCCCGGGGTATTGCCGCACCAGGCTGAGGTTCCAGGTTGTTCCTGCGCGGGGCTGGGGACCCCCATTATGCCTACACCAGCCTAGGGGCCCCCATTATCCTTCCGCTGCTCTGGGGCTCCCTATTACCCCTATATGGAGCTGGGACTCCCTGCCATAATCCCCATACCAGGCTGGGGTTCCAGGTGATCCCTGTACTGGAGTGCTGCTCCCAATATTATCCCAATACTGGACCGGGGCTCCTAATTATCCTTTTCCTAGTCTGGAGTGCCGTGTGACCTGCCTGGGACCCTCCATTAGCCCAATACTGATCTGAGGTCCTCAGTTCACCCTGCACCAGAGATGGGGACCGGTTTATCCCCGCACGGACCGGGGGTCGTGCCCCAGCCAGGGGTCGTGCCCCACTCGGGGGTCGTGCCCCACTCGGGGGTCGTGCCCCACCCGGGGGCCGTGCCCCAGCCGGGGGTCGTGCCCCAGCCGGGGGTCGTGCCCTACCCGGGGGCCGTGCCCCAGCCGGGGGTCGTGCCCCAGCCGGGGGTCGTGCCCTACCCGGGGGCCGTGCCCCAGCCGGGGGTCGTGCCCCAGCCGGGGGTGCGCCCAGCTCCGCAGCGAGGCAGACACCGGAGCCCCAATGCGCGGCTGGTACCCAGGACTTTATGCGCCCCATACAGACGTGGACCCCCGGGGTGACACCCAGAGCCCCCGACAGCAAGCGGGACCCCCGGGGTCCCGTGTCCCCCTTCAACACCCGAACCCCCGGCGGCTCCGAGCCCGGGGACACGACACCCCGTCCCGGGGCTGGCTGGCGGCCGGCGCGATGTCCCGGGGCCGGCGGGACCCCCGGGCCGGCTCGCCCCGGGGCTATTGCTTGTCGATGGCTCCCTGCTCGGCCGCGATGTCCCGGGGCCGGCGGGACCCCCGGGCCGGCTCGCCCCGGGGCTATTGCTTGTCGATGGCTCCCTGCTCGGCCGCGCTGTCGCGGGGCGCGGGTGGCCGCAGCCACGGCGTCTCCCGCAGCACGAACCAGCAGTTCCCGGCCCACAGCAGGAAGTTGAGGAACCCGAAGAGCTGCAGGAAAGGGGAGAGGGGAGAGAAGAAGGGAGAGGGTCCCACAGGGCAGCCTCGGGGGAGAATAGCACCCCACACACCCTGTGCACCCTCGGGGGAGAATAGCACCCCGCACACCCCGTGCGCCCCATGAGCTCCAAGCACCCCATGTGCCCTGACATCGGGTGTGCCCTGTGCACCCCACACACCCCATGCACCCCATAATTCCCGTACATCCCACGCACCCCACTGTGCGGCGGGCACCCCACGTGTAACCCACATCCTGTGCCCCACGCACCCCAGGCACCTTATGCACCCCATGTGTCCCACATGTGCCGTGCAACCTGTGCACCCCATGGACCCCGTGTACACCATGCAACCCACATGCCCGATGCACCCCATGCACCCCACTTCACCCCATGAGCCCCATATACCTCACGCACCCCGTATGCCCTATGGCCCCATGCACACCACGCACCCCATAGATCCCGGACACCACTGCCAGGGGCTGCACCAGCACACCCACCCCACCCTGGCAGACCCTGACGGCCGGGGGGATGCAGGGCGGATCCCACATCCCGCAGGACCGAGGCAGTGGCTGTGGAATGTTTTCACCCGCATTTCCATGCCTGTGCCCGTAGTTCCATGTGTGTGCCCACATTCCCACTGCCCTCTCCTGGCTGAGCTCAGGAATCAGGCACAGTGTGCACAGAGTGGGAGTGAGTGTGTGAGCGTGCACCTGGCTGTGAGCACTGTGCACCTGTGCTGTGCTCCCACGGCCACGTGTGCTGTCCTGTGAGCACGCGTGTGCACTGCTGTGCCTTCATGTGCCCAGGTGTGCAGCAGGACCTGCCAGGTGTGCAGGCTGTGGGTTGCATGCGTGTGCACATGTGCTGCTCAGCTCTGCTTGAAGTCCCTAAACTGTGCTCCCAATGAAAAAATTACTCCTGTTTGGCTGTGTGTACCCCTGTGTGTGCCCGTGTGTGCCTATGTGTGTGTGCCCATGTGTGTGTGTGCCTGTGTATGCCCCTGTGTGCCCATGTGTGTGCCTATGTGTATGTGCCCATGTGTGTTTCTGTGTGTGTGTGCCCATGTGTGTGTCTTTGTGTGTGTCTGTGTGTGTGCCCATGTGTGTGCCTGTGTGTACCCTGTGTGCCCATGTGTGTGCCTGTGTGTATGTGCCCATGTGTGTGTCTGTGTGTACCCTGTGCGCCCATGTGTGTGTGTGTGCCCATATGTGCCCATGTGTGTGGCCATGTGTGCCCGAGTGTGTGCCCATGTGTGCCCATATGTGCCCATGTGTGTGCCCCAGTGTGCCCATGTGTGTGCCCATGTGTGCCCATGTGCGTGCCCATGTGTGTGCCCATGTGTATGCCCGTGTGTGCCCCCATGTGTGTGTGCCCGTGTGTGCCTGTGTGTACCCCTATGTATCCATGTATGTGCCTGTGTGTGTCCCCTGTGTGCCCGTGTGTGTGTCCATGTGTGTGCCTGTATGTACCCCTATGTATCCGTATATGTGCCTGTATGTGTCTGTGTGTGTGCCTGTGTGTATGCCCATGTGTGTGCCCATGTGTGTGCTCATGTGTGCCCCTGTGTGTGTCTGTGTGTGTCCCCTGTGTGCCCACATGTGCCCATGTGTGTGCCCATGTGTGTGCTCATGTGTGCCCCTGTGTGTGTCTGTGTGTGTCCCCTGTGTGCCCACATGTGCCCCCATGTATGTGCCCGTGCGTGTGTGCCCGTGTTGCCCTCACCACCGAGATGTTGGCCAGCCCCATGGCCGGCGTGGTGCCGGCGTTGCAGACCACCCCGTCGCCCTGGCAGACCCCCATGGCAGAGATGAGGGCGGAGGGGCGCGTGGCTGCCTTCACGTCGCTCAGCCCCTTGCCCCACGCCGCCGCTGCCACCAGCCAGAAGAAGGCGAAGCAGACGGTGACGCAGAAATCCTGCCAGGATGGGATGAGAGCCCGGGATCAGCTGCCACCCCGGCACGGCGCGGGATCCACACATCCCGGGGGATCAGCCTGCCTTACTGTGAAGGGGAGCTTCGTGTTCTCCGTGTACAGGGAATGGAAGCGGAGGTAGAGCACCAGAGCAGCCATGGAGTAGAGGAAGGAGAAGACCCCCAGGGTCACGAAAAACTCGGCGGGAGCGGAGAAATCACCAACGAGGTACAGGGTGCGAGCTTCTGCTTCATCCTCACAATTCGGCATTCCAAAGGGAATCTGGTATAACCTGGCATAGAGGGAGGGGGGTGTCAGGGGGCTGGGAATGGAGAGGGCGTGGGGGTAGGTGGTATAACCACGCTGGGGTGGTCCCCTGGGAATGGAAGGTTTGATGGTGATTGATGGCTAAAATAACCAGGCTGGGGTGGTCCCCTGGGATAGAGGGCACAGATCCACTGCCATAACCTGGTTCTTTTCCAGCTTCTATGCCCTGGCATGGGGCTGGTGGCAGAGGAAAGAGGTTAGAACTGACTCTCATCTGGCCCAACTCCATCATTGCCTTCCCAGATAAATCAGCATTCCCGTGGTCTTCCCCGAGTACTGAGAACTTCCCTCCTTCCCCACCCCGCTCTTCTGTGATTAACAAGAATCCCCCTGGGTGGTGCCAGGAACTGACAGGGATGCCAGGGGATGTCCCATGGGGTCAGGGTGCGGGTGGTTCCCAGCTGAACATGGCATCACACAGACCATGGCTGTGGTCCTATGGAGGCCCTGGCAGCAGGAAGGGAGTCTAACCCCAGCCCAGCCCCCCCAGCTTGTCTGGGGGCAGCCCTGGGGGTGTCAGGGACCAGCACCCCCTCACCTGAAGGGGTACCCGAACTGGATGCTGATGGCTGTCATCCCTCCGCTCTCACATTTCACTGTGGCTCCGGTCTCGCCGCTGAAGGAGCCGCAGGAGCCGAAGGCGAAGATGGCAAAGAGCTACAGGAGAGGGCAAAGGGTTGGGGGGTTTCATCCTTGGGGGGCAGGCTGCATCCCCTGGCACTGAGTAATGGGCAAGCTGCCACCCCCAGATGTTGGCCTTGGGTGCCTCCCTCCAACATCTGGGATTTGAGGACAGGGGTGATGTGTGAGGGGGTGAGGACACCAAGGCCAAACCCATCCCGATCCCCCCTTAATTTTGGGCAGGGTACTGAGTGCCAGAGAGGGTTTCCAGAGAGCTGGGAGCATCCCCATGGTGGGACCCCCAGAGCTGTCCCCTCCCCAGGAGCCAGCACTGCCCTCCCTTGTCTTTGGAGTCACACTGCCCTCATCTCCTGGATGAGGGTGCCGGGAAAACACCATTCTCAAAGTGTTTTCCCACAGCTCCTCCTGGCTGAGCTCCCAGCTTCCCGGGTGAAATGGGGGATGTAAGCCAGGCCTGCTGCTGCAGGGATGGGCAGCCCCATGGGTGGCACTAAGGGTTTAAGCAGGGCTGTGGGTGGATCCTCCAGAGATTTTCTTCTCGTTTTTGTTTTCGGGCTGTCTTTGCATGTGGGGTCTGATCCCATATGGTGGCCTCAATGGCAGGGGGAGCCCAGAGCCTCCGTGGGTGGGATTTTGCAAACCAAGGAGCTGTAGGGTTGGGGGAAAACCCCTCAGTCTGGCTTCTCCTGGTGGGAGATGCCCAAAGAGGGCTGAGTCCCCCCTGTACCTCAGTTTCCCCCGGGAGCCCCCCGGCCTTGGCGAGCCCGAGCTGCAGAAATGCCACCCTGAAATCCAATCTGACAGGGAGCCATTCATGGCATGGCCAGGACAGGACAGAGCCGCGGGCACTTGGCTCCCCCCCGTCCCCAGCGTCCCCCTTCCTGGGGCTCACTGACCCTCAGCCCCTCTCTGCACCCACCCACCCACCCACCCACCCACCCCGTGCCCCCTGAGCCCGTGGGAATGGCGGGGACCTGTCCCCCCGATGTCACTGTCCCCTTTGGCATGGCTGGGCAGAGCCACCTGCTCAAGGTCACCGGGGAGGGCCAGAGAGGGGCTGGTGGCCTGAGCCCAGGCGTCCGTGTGGCCCTGCTCCCCTCGTCCCCCGCAGCCCCCAAAATGCAGCCCCCAGCCCCGCTGCTGATGGGGTGCAGGAAGCTCTGGAGGGGCAGGGGGGGCTCTGGGATTCCTCTGTACTGGGGGGGGCTTTGGGAAGGCAACAGAACCCCCCAAACCTGGGGGACTGCGGTGCTTGGGGAGCAGCAGCAGCAGCGCTGGGGAAGGGGCTGTGACGGGGGCAGGGATCAGGCCAGGGGGACACGCCGGGGTCACTCACCCATTCCAGCACCTTGATGAAGCCCAGCGGCTCCTGGAGGCGGCCCCAGCGCAGCCCACGAAGGACACGGTCCTGCGGGAGAGAGCGGCGGGAGCCGGGAGCACCGGCACGGCACCGGGACTTGCCCGGGGCTCTGCTCCGGGGAACCGGGGGGCTACCAGGGCCATGGGGCACTGCACCGTGGCTGCCACGACGGGATTGCCCCGGGCAGGGGGCTGCAAAGGGGCCTGCACCGGGCTGGGGGTGCCTCGGTGGGGACGGGTCTGCTCCGGGAGACCGGGGGGACTGCCCCGGAGAACTGGAGAGGCCGCACCGGGGAACCGGGCAGCTGCCCCGGGGAAACGGAGGGGCTGCAACGGGATTGCCCCGGGCAGGGGGACCGGGGGAACGGCATCGGCCACGGCACCGGAACAGCGGAGGGCTGTACCGCGACACCGGGGCGCTGCACAGGTCGCAGCGGCGGCTCCAACGGGACACTGTGGGCTGCTCCGGAGGTGTCGGCACTGGAACACCACGGACCCCTCCAGGGATCGCCTCCGGGACACCGGAGAGACACCGAGAGCTGCCCCGGGCAACAGCGCCGGGACACCAAGGGGCTGCACCGGGAGGCAGCCGCGGTCACCGGGAGGGGGGACGCACCGGAGCCCTACCTGGAGCCGGGTCGGTTTATCACCGGCCGCGGGGGCGCCGGGCTCCGACATGGCCGGGCCGGGGGCGGTCGGTGCTGCCTCCGCCGCCCGCTGGCACGGCTCCGCTGGCGGAGCCGCCACCCGGCACCCCACCGCCCCCGGGGCGGGCAGCGCCGCCCCGCCCCCGGCAGCGCCCCTGGGCCGGCCCCGGGCCCCCCGGGACAGCCCCCCGCCCCGGTCCGCCCCCCGGCGCTCCGGCCGGCGCGGGGAGCGCAGCGCCCCCCGGGGAGGGTCCGTCCGTCCGTCGATGCCCCGGGAGCCGGGAGCGCTGGAACGGGGCGGGAATTGCGCGGGGGGCCGCTAACGGGGCCGGCAAGGAGGCGGCGTCGCATCGTGCACTGGGCGTTGGGCTGCCGGTATGGACGGGGGTCCCAGGGGCATACACCCCCTCCCGGTATCTCCTCCCGGTATTCCCCTCCGTGCAGCCCGTCCCGGAGCCCCTTCCCGACACCGCCTCCCGTAGCCTCTTCTCGGTGTCCCATCCGTGGTACCGCCTCCCCGATCCCCCTTTCCCGGTTCCCCCGTTCCGAGTCCCCATTGCCGGGAACCGCTCCCGGTACCGCGCCGTGCCCGCCGCAGGCCCCGCCCCCCGCCGCAGGCCCCGCCCCCGCTGCATTGACCACGCCCCCACAGCACAAACCACGCCCCCACAGCATAGACCACGCCCCCAGGGCTCAGGCCACGCCCCATTGGCCGCACTGGCGATGTGACCACGCCCCCAATGCTCAGGCCCCGCCCCCGCACGTTGGCCCCGCCCGTCGCCCCAGTCCCGCCCTACCGCTCCCTGCGCGCTGGTCCCGCCCTCTCCGCCCTGCCATTGGCCGAGCCGCAGGGCCGCTGTCCAATGGGCGCGCGGCGCGGGCGGAAGTGCCGGCCGGGCCGGAAGCGGCGGTGCAGCCCCCGTGAGGCCGCGGCGCTCCCGGTGCCCCCGAGCCCCCGAACCGCCCCGGCCCCTCCGGAGTCCCGGCCCCGCCGGAACCGCCCGGCCCCGCGCCGCCATGTTCCTCACGCGCTCCGAGTACGACCGGTGAGTGCCCGCCCGCGCCGCGGCTGAGTCACGGGCCTGCGCCCGGCGCGGCCCGAGCGCTCCGGGGCGCCCCGACCGGCGGCTCCCGCACCGGGATCGCACCGGGAGCCCGCAGCCCGGCCATGGGACCGGGGACTGCCGGGATGGGACTGACCCGAGGGCGGGGGCAGCTGGGGCGTGTGGGGATGGGCACCCGGGGAAAGGAGCGGGAGCAGCAGGAGCAGCGGGGCTGGAGCACCGGGAACGGCTGAGGGAGCTGGGAACGGGCTGGAGAATCCCTGAGGGAGCTGGGAGCGGGCTGGAGAATCCCTGAGGGAGCCGGGACAGGGCTGGAGAATCCCTGAGGGAGCTGGGAGCGGGCTGGAGAATCCCTGAGGGAGCTGGGACAGGGCTGGAGAATCCCTGAGGGAGCTGGGAGCGGGCTGGAGAGTCCCTGAGGGAGCTGGGACAGGGCTGGAGAGTTCCTGAGGGAGCTGGGAGCGGGCTGGAGAATCCCTGAGGGAGCTGGGAGCGGGCTGGAGAATCCCTGAGGGATTTGGGACAGGGCTCAGCCTGGAGCAAAGGAGGCTCGGAGGGACCTCCTGGCTCTGCACAGCTCCTGCCAGGAGGGGACAGCCGGAGGGTCGGGCTCTGCTCCCTGGGAACAGGGACAGGAGGAGAGGGAACAGCCTCAGACGGGACCAGGGATGTTTAGTTTGGAAGTTGGGAATTTTTTCTCATGGAAGGCGCTATCCAGCCTGCCCAGGCAGTGCTGGAGTCCTCATCGCTGGCAGGGCTCAGAAGCCACGTGGAGGTGGCACTCGGGGACAGGGCTTAGCGGTGGCCTTGCAGGGCTGGGGGAAAGGCTGCACTCCGTGATCTCAAAGGACTTTTTCAATGCCAAGGATTCCAGGATTCCGTGGCCCTTCTCACTGTGTGTTGTCCTTGCAGGGGTGTGAACACGTTCTCTCCGGAGGGGAGGCTCTTCCAGGTGGAATATGCCATCGAGGCCATCAAGGTACTTTTAAAACTTCCCAAACTCTGACATCTGGGGCTCCTTCAAACCCCAGGCAGGGATTGCTGAGGACTAATCCAGGCTGTGTGTGTTTCCTGCAGCCAGACATCCCACAGCTTTGCTTTTATGGCTCAGGAAGGAGCAGAACCCATTAACTTTCCCTGAAGTTCAGTGGAAAGTTCAGTGGAATGTTCCCTCCCCTGTGCTACCAAGTGATTTATCCCCAAACAAAATGCAACCCAAAGCTGTTTATCCCCAAATCAAACCTAAACCATTTCTTGGGTGGATTTAAATGTGAAGCTGAAGGTTGTTACGAGCAAACCCACCTTGCAGGGCCAAATGGCCTTTAGGAATTAGATATGAATGTCCTTAATTGATAACTATTCCTGTCATTGATAGAATGTGGGTACTGATTGGTAATACATTTAAATTTGGAAGAAACAGGTCAAGTGATGAAGGGAAAAAGCTCTGAGGTGTTTGAACTGGGGAGAAGGGTCCTGACTTCATCTTCCCTGTGTTCCTTTAGCTCTTTGGAGCACTAAAGAGAGAAATAAAGTAATTGTGTAACAGAAAAAGTAATAAAATTATCAAGGGCTTGGGAATTAAAGCTCCCAGGAGGATGTTGGTGGCCATGCTGACTCCATAAATTAAAATAGATCTCCTGCCATACCTGTGGCTGTAGGTGCAGCTTTCCAGGGAATCTTGGGGTTAAAATTAAACCCCGTGGCTTGAAGTGGCTGTTGGGAGTGAGCATTCCACAGTGCAGCTGAGACAGCTCTGCAGGAAATTCTGAGCTGTGGAAGAGCTGGGAGTGCTGGGAGCAGGGTGGGATGGAGGTTGGTGGTGGGATCAGGGCTGGATCGAGTTTGGGAGTTGGAGGGGTTAAGGTAGGACCAGTGTGGGGTTGGTGGGATTAAATGGGATTGAGGTAAGGGCAGTGGGATCCGCATTAGGGGCTGGTGGGATCCACATTAGAGCTGGTAAAATCCACACTAGGGGCTGGTAAAATTCACATTAAGGGCTGGTAAAATCCACATTAGGGATTGGTGGGATCCACATTAGGGGCTGGTAAAATCCACACTAGGGGCTGGTAAAATCCACATTAGGGGCTGGTAAAATCCACATTAGGGGCCGGTAAAATCCACATTAGGGGCTGGTAAAATCCACATTAGGGGCTGGTAAAATCCACATTAGGGGCCGGTAAAATCCACATTAGGGGCCGGTAAAATCCACATTAGGGGCTGGTAAAATCCACATTAGGGGCTGGTAAAATCCACATTAGGGGCTGGTAAAATCCACATTAGGGGCTGGTAAAATCCACATTAGGGGCTGGTAAAATCCACATTAGGGGCTGGTAAAATCCACATTAGGGGCTGGTAAAATCCACATTAGGGGCTGGTAAAATCCACATTAGGGGCTGGTAAAATCCACATTAGGGGCTGGTAAAATCCACATTAGGGGCTGGCAAAATTCACATTAAGGGCTGGTAAAATCCACATTAGGCATTAGGGGCTGGTGGGATCCAGGGAAGCCTTGGTAACATCATGGTGGGATCAAGGCGGGGCTGGTGGGATGAAAGTGGGATCAAGGTGGGATCAAAGTAAGGAGCTGTTGGGATCAAGGCAGGGATCTGTGGTATCAAGGTGAGAGTTGGTGCAATTAAGGTGGGATCCAGGCAGGGCCTGATGGGATCAAGGTGGGATCACAGCAGGATCCAGACAAGGGCTGCCAGGACCCCCTAGGATCTGTCCCTGTGCTTGTGGCCCTGGTGACACTGAGGTGTCCTGCTGTCCCACGGCTGACTTTGCTGCCTGGGACTCTGGGGAGAAACAGGAACTTATGGAAAGCCATGTGCCAAAGCCAGAGCTGCAGTGGGATTTGTACTGATGTGGGAAATTCTCTTACCCTTAAAGGTTTAAAAGAGTTTAAAACTCTCTTTCCCTCTGGCAGAGGAGAATTCCCAGGGCCTTTTACTCTCACCAGCCTCCACAAGCTGCTGTTGCTTGAAGGATGTGCAGCTGGGGAAGGGGCTGCAGCACCAGGAGTGCCTGAGGGAGCTGGGAAAGGGGCTCAGCCTGGAGAAAAGGAGGCTCAGGGAGACCTTCTGGGACCCACTGGGTTCTCATGGGAATCACATGGATTTCACCTTCCCCATTTCCTACTTCAGGGAATAAGCTTGAAAATCCACGGTGTAAACCCAGAGTGGGTTTGTGTGTGGGTGACACATTGAATCCAAACCAACACACCTGCAGGTGAGTCAGAAGTAGCACTGTGCTTGTGTGAGCTGCAGCCTGGGGTGGTGTTTTGCAGCTTGGCTCCACAGCCATCGGGATCCAGACCTCCGAGGGAGTTTGCCTGGCTGTGGAGAAGAGGATCACATCTCCCCTGATGGAGCCCAGCAGCATTGAGAAGATTGTGGAGATCGACTCCCACATTGGTATGGCCCTGGGGGTGCCTCTGCATAGATCACCCCTCAGATTGGGGATTATTTGTGAGAAGAGCCCGTGCCCTGGCAGTTTGGGAAGCTGTTGTGTTGGGATGAGCCCTCCCTGCAGGCAGTGCCTGGAGCAGGAAGGCTCATCCCTCCCAGTGCACACCAGCTCCTGGGCACTGCTTTTCCAGGCTCCAGGAAGCACAAAGAGGCAGCTGAAGAACTGCCCCCTACCTCAGTAACCTCCCTTGTGAGAGCTCATCCCAAATTTACCTCTGGGAGGGCAGGGAGTGATGCTGGGACTGACTGGGGCCAGTTTCTCCAGGATCACTGATGCCATCCTGGAGCCATGAGTGGCCCACAATGGGCTCATGACCAAATACGTCACCCTGAAGGGCAAGAAACCTCCAAAATTCCGGTGTTGCTGCTCCATGGGCACGGGAGGAGCTCCAAGAGTCCAGTTTCCTCCTCCCAGGAGCTTGTGATGCAGTCCCCTCTTCCCAGAGTGGAATCTGCTGGGGGCTCCTGCAGCATCTGCTGCCTGTGGGGCAGCCAGGGCCCCTCCCAGCAGGTTGTTCTGGAGCAAATCTGCTTCAATCCCATGGAATCCTCGAGGCTGGAAAAGCCCTCTAAGACCATCGAGTCCA